CGTGGGCTCCCCTCACTCTGCAACTTTGTTCTTAGTGGTGCCTCTCCAGGCCACTGCCCGCTGCTTCAGGGTGAGAGCCAGCTGGGCTGGGCTTCTGGAGGGTCAGTCTCCATCTGATCCCAAGACACCAGCTCTCCGCCACCGGTGAGACGAATCCACCAGGCCCCCAGCTCCCTCCACCCCCTCTGCCAGGATATGTGGCCATGCTGCACTTGGCCCGCTGCCCGGGTCTTCCAGGACCCCAGCTGGTCCCAGTTGTCTCCAGAGCCGCAAGGGTGACTGCCTTGTGGGATTTTTCTCATGTGTATTGATGACCAGCAGCATCACCCCCTAGGGACTCTCCAGAAGAGCTCCAAGTGCAGGGATGCCTAGTGGGGAGGGGCCAGAAGATCAAGGCTCCACCCCAGCCCCCTTTCTGCTAGCCACAACACTGCCCCCTTCTGGACAGCCACATAAGTTGCCAAAAAGTTCTCTCCTGGTGACACCTGGCTGCCATCCAACCCTCCTGCCCCTTTTCTTCTAGATACAGAGCTCCCAACTTACCTCACATGCCTCTTGCTAGGCAATAAGAATTGCAGCTCTGTTAAGTAACAGTAGGGTCCCTTCCTCAGCCACCCCGATTCTGCCTCTAAGTTTGATCCATGACCCTTTCCAGCCCAGTGTCCTCACCTCACCTCAAGAATGCTTTAAAAATCTGTCTGAAGTAGTAACTTGGTAAGTGACCAGAGGCCGCTGGATCTGGCTGCTGGCTGTGAAGCCTGCAGAACTGTACTGCTGGAGGAGGGCCATCATTGGCTCCTCTCTGACTCTTCTGTCACCTCACTTGTCACTCAGCTTCCTTCCTAGTGCTGTGTCTATGTGTCCTTGAAGCCATCCTAGGTATTGCTCTGGTTCTGCATCCTTTTTTGACCCCTACATGTGTCCTTCCTGGGAGCCATTGGGCCTGTGCACCCAAGTGGGCTTAGCCGTCTGGTCCACAGTTGTCCTTTTTTTATAATCCTCCCCCTTGTGTGGACACTCGTGATTTGACCATAGGTTTTATTTTTCAAGTTGCCTCTAGATTGGTTTGAGGACCATGGTGGGTGGAAGCACACTGCCCGCCAGTGTCCAGGGCCTGCCTCCCTGGCTGAGCCTGGATGCAGGAGTGCCCAGGACAAGATGTAGTGAGGGTACAGGTCTGGCTTAGGAAATCCTTCCTGGGCAACTAAGTTCCTGTTCCAGTAATCTTCATCCTTGACACCCTACTGATTTTGCAGCAAGCTCTGTTAAGTCTTAAAAATCCTAAGCTAGAGGTCCTAAGTTCCACCTCTGTATTCTAGAGAGCCACAGATTTGGGGAGATAGACGTGGAGGGATTTGGACCGTCCATGGCATACAGGGTAGGGAGAAGATGGCTTCCCAGCTAGGAGAGCTCATGGCCGGCAGAGCAGGCAGGGATGCTGATGGGTGCCTTCCCTCTGCAGACTATTCCTGGAGTAGCAAGTCCAGTTGCTGGGGCAACAGTGAAGAGAAGCGAGGGTCTGCCCGATCTGAGCTGGACCCCGGCTCCAGCGCCAAGAGCCTCATCCCGAAAGAGTCTTGGCTCGATGCCTTCTGGGACTAGGGACAAGCTGTGACCAGACTACCTATCCCCCTTCGAGCTGCGAGGCCCCAGCTCCTCTGGGCCTCAGTTTCCCCCTCTGTAAAACAGGGCTTATAAGATCAATGAGTCCTTGGATGAGCTCGTTTGCCACGTCTGTTTGAAACTGGTGTTTTCCAAATCCTGGTCTGTGAAACTGATGTAAAAGATTGTGACCTGCATCATTAAAAACTCAAGGGTGGAGTGGCAGGATGTGTATAGTGGTACAGTGGGTGTGGCTTTGTGAAATACTTAAAGGTATATACACTGGTGCTTATCTATACACACATGTTACACTGAGTCTTAATGCAATCTTTTCTTCTGGTTTATTGCTATATTCAGAATATATTCTTTTTTTTTCCTTAAAGAGTTCAGGTCTCATTATGTTTTCCAGGTGGCCTTGAACCCTGGGCTCAAGTGCTCATTCTGTCTCAGCCTCCTGAGAAGCTGGCACTGCAGGGTGGCCACTGTGCCTGATTGTCTTATGCAGCCTAAAGGTTTGAAAGCCACTGTTCTAAGTGCCGTGTCTGAGGGCATTCAGGGCTGGCAGTGATGCTGGAAGGCCTTTCCACTATCATCTCATTTTATGGCTAAGAAAACAGGTTTGGAGAAGGGAAGCTCCTGTGGTTGGAAAGGTAGGGCTGGGTCACCACCTGGGCCCTGAATCTTGGCTCTTCCTCTCCAGAATGGGGATAAGATGGGCAAGGGCTTTGCCCAGGGCCTGGTATGTGGCAGGGTTAGAAGCAGGCTTGAGATTGTGCCCTCATTGGCCCCATAGGTGGCCAGGAGGCTCCCTGAACTGGGGTTCTGTGGGCACAGATACCAGCAGGTGAGAGCAGGCAGGGCAAAGAGGTGCCCTCCCCATAAACAGCTCGCCACATAGTTCAAGATGACTTTTAAACTCAGTGTCTGACAATCGTCAGATTAGTGCCATCCTTGAGAAACTTCTGGATGTCAAAGTAAGCCCCCACATTTTTTCACTTCATCTACTGTTACACCCTGGAGGCCGGTGGGAGGGTTGACATCCAGTGAGCCTTTGCCTCAAGATAAAAAAACATGAAGGACGGGGCCACAGCTCTGGGCTAGAGCACCCTGGGCTCAGTCCCCAGCACAGCACACACACATGGAGTGCCCAGGTTCAGAGCTGGGCAGAGGGCAGGACCTGCCTTTCCCATCCCTGCGGGCTGCCTGATAGTGCTTGAAGCCACCAGCCCCCTCACATTGTGTCTGCTGAGGTCCGGTCAGTGCAGAAAGGACCTCATGGGAACTCCTGGGCCTGAACAGGCTGTAGATGAAGCTGCCATCACATCAGAGTGATCCCAGCAGTGAGCACAGCCTAAAGGATATGCTTTGGGAATCTGTTCAAGAGAGGACTTGAAGTCCCTCAGAACATGCACACACACATTGGTGGTGTGTGACCTGCAGTCCCCTAGCACATGTGCACACACTTGGTGGGGGTGTGTGTGTCTTGGTCCCACCTCAGGGCATCTAAGGGCAGCGCCAGCCAGCTGTGGGATTGCACTGCCCCCTGGTGGTCACTGGTATGCACAGCTTTAGCAACGATTGCCTCAACCTAGACTCAAAGCACCAGGAATACTGTCCAGCGCTTTAAACCCTTATCCAGAATGAATTTTGGCCCCAGCAACACGGATGTACCTCAAAGCCAGCGTGAGAGGGCCTGGTGTGGTGGTGCATTCCTGTGATCCCAGTGATTCAGGAGGCTAAGGCTGGAGGACTGCAAGTTCTAGGCCAGCCCAAGCAAGGACAGACAGTGATTTACCACTGAAAATCTTGGTTGGGTAACAGCCTCACAGCTTCATCTCTAAGTGTGTCCATGTGGTCCACAGACAAAACCAAAGGAGAGGAACAGAATTTAGGATGGAGGGCAAGATGGTAAATTTGAGGGACATGTCTTGAATTCTGTATGGGGCGGGTTATCTGAGGTCACCCATTCCTGAAACTTTCAGTCCAACAAGCCAAGGAAGTCTGTTTTGTTTTAAGCCACTTTGTTTCTGTCATTTGAAATGGGAAAAAAACAAAGCCCAAAGACAGCTCTCTGAATTCTAAATCCCTCGGCCAGGCAAATCCCTGCTTCCACTCCAGAGGCCAATCTGGGGACATCTGTGGGGTCTCCATCCTGCTGGGCTTCTCTGGAAGATCTGGAGTCATTCGGCACCTCTGAGAGGCAAGTCCAGAAGAGTTGACCTCATCTACTTCTAGAATGTTCTGGAGAGCTGCAAGGGACACAGAAAAGACAGGCAGGTTGGGACAATGGACTTGGTGATTTGCCTGTTGGTCCATTCAGCCAACCATCGGTCTTTCATCAGGGATGCATCCATCCATGTGCCACCCACACCTGTCCACCCAACATGCACAAAGTTCTGCTTTATGGTAGGGACTGAGAATACAGAGAAGAGAAAGATGCCGTCCTTCTCTTCCAGCAGCTCTGAATCATTCAGAATCCCAGCTCAGATGTGTCAAGACTGGACTGCCACCTCTTCAACCCTTGGTCATTACAACAGAAAAGCAGTCCACACCCATTAACTTCAAATGATAAGGGGAAGGTCCATCTGTTTTGCTCATAATTTTCCTGTGTGCTCAACTGAAATTCCATTAGTGTGTCTAATGGGCACCTGTTAAATGAAAAAGTCTTTTAAATAAGTAATTGATTTTATTTTCCCAGGTAGTAAGCTTTGGTGCTAGCAGAGGGGAAGTGGAAAGATTGTCACCACACATGGTGCCTGTGGAAGGGGGGCCTTGGGGAGATGGGGCACCCAGGACTTTCCCTCCCTGGATCTGGGCAGCTCTGCTCTGTCTCCTTCTCCACTCCAGCCAGGAACCAGTCCATCCAGTAAAAATCCTCTGTTCATCCCAGAAGAAGCCTGGGCTTGCAGCCCATAGGAGCCCGAGCAAGGTGCTCTAGGCAGGGGGAACTGGTGATTGGGGGAGGGCAGGTGGCTTCGTTTTGTCCTGTTGTTAATTTATAGCCTGGCCTGCACTCTGGCCATGCTCTGGCACCGTGCTTGTTCCTTAGTGGCTGGTCTGGCAGCTTAACATGGCATGGGGGCTCGTGGGCAGCTCTGGTTTCAGGGCTCTCTGCTCAAGTCGTGCTCTGGGGGGACAATCATTCTCTAGCATCTGTGAGGGAGGTATTGGGCTATTGGAAAGACTGGCTCACCTTTGTTTTTAAAGATGGCTGTGGACAGCTCAGGTGCCCCTCAGAGCAGGCCAAGTGGGAGCGGCCCTGGGCTATGCTTTCACGGGCATGGCCCGGATCTAGGTGCCAGAAGGCCCAGCCAAGGGCGTGGGGGACCCTGAGGCCAGTGCAGGCCCTGCCTGCCCCACTGCAAACTGTAAACCTGGTTTTATTTAATGCCTTTTATCCATCACAAAGTACTGTTCCCTCCCCAGTGTACTTCTTTCCCCAGGAAACAAGATGGCAGCATAAGGACTGATCAGCGACTGCTGTCACAACCTGGTCACCTCCTGAAGATCTCTGGCCCCCAAGGCCTCACGGTGGGGATCAAATTCCAACAAGAGCCTGGAGGGGCCTCATGACGTAGCGAGAGCAGAGTCTGGACAGGAACTGCTCCCTCAATGTGTGACATGGCCTTGTGGCCCTGTGGCCTGCATCCGAGGAGGCAGACGGGAGGGTTGGTGGGTGCCCAGCTGGCAGCGATGCAGAAATGTACTCTGTGAACAGCACAACATGCCCTTCTGGCGGATTTCCTGCCTCGCTGACCTGGAGGCGCTCAGGCATGCGGTGGAGCTCCAGTACCTATAGCAACACCTGACACCTGCCATTGCCACACCCACAGGGCCACTATATGCCCAGCCTCCCCTCTAAGCGCCCCAAAGGCCTGGACACCGGACCCCAGGCAGAGCGCTGCACCCTGAGGACTGTCCAGTGGCCGTCGCAGAAACCGTCCAGGGGGACCCCAAAAGCAGAGGGACGGTGGCGTAGGGGTGGAACCTGCTTGGAGTGCCAACTTCTGCAAGATGCACAGGACACCAGATGCAGGCCTGCAGCCCCAGGACTACTGGCCAATGGACCTGCGCTGCAGAACTCACCCGCTGTGGTGTAGAGGGTCTCCAGTCCTGCTCCCCAAGGGAGTTGGGCTCTCTGGGATGGGGCTGGCTCCACTGGAAAGAGCACAGCTGCTCTGAACTCCTCCTTCCTTCCTTCCCTCCTTCCTTCCTTCCCTCCTTCCTTCCTCTTTTCCTCCTTCCTGTCCCTGCGCCACCATTGGGGATGAACCCAGGGGTGCCCACACCGAGCTGCACTCCCGGTCCTCACCATAGGGGTGACAAGAGCAAGGTGACTAGACAGCTGGCCAACTAGGAAATGGCAGAACATTTGGGCAGGTAGAGGATGGTGGATAACAATGTCTCGAGGGTAGTTGGGTGGACTGTGGGATGGAAAATCGCAGGGACAATCAGACAGTTGCATGGTGCATGAGGG